CCATATTCAGAGGGAGAGGCAATAGGGTAACTAGTTTTAGGCTAGCCTTGCTGCATAGTAAGAACTGTTGAAAACATCAGCAAAAGAAAATACGTTAATGTTGAAATAAACTTAAGCTTTTAAAGATTACTGAAATGGGGTAGCAGCTAAGTGGATAAACTACTGCTCTGTAAACATGAGGTCCTATGTTCGGATCGCCAGACTAACGTAAAAACCAGATGTGGTGTGCACATGTAACCCAAACACTGGGGAAGTGAGGAAGAGAGACAGACAGGTCCTCCGTTGAGCCAGTTGGTGAACTCCAGGGTCAGAGATCTGCCTCAAAAAATAATGTGGAACAATTGAGAAAGATAACTAACATAAGTCTCTACCCTTCATGTACACAAACAAGCACACTTAATTACACGGGCATACACCAGCCACACAAATATAGGCGCATGTACACACATAGTTTTTTTTTTAATTTATTTATTATGTATTAGTGTTCTGGGCACAAGATCTCGTTATAGATGGGTGTGAGCCACTATGTGGTTGCTGGGAATTGAACTCAGGACCTCCGGAACAACAGTCAGTTCTCTTAACCTCTGAGCCATCTCTCCAGCCCACACATAGTTTTTTTTAAGGTTCTATGTATTTTATTTTTGGAAAAAAAATTAGTTTATATGAAACCGAAAAGTAAATCAGAACCCAGTATAAACATGACCAAGTCTCTAGAGGTTAAAATGTTCAACTCCATCTGATAAGATTGATGGATGACCATGATTCTTCTCCAGTGTCTTCTCTTGGAGTTGTACCTGACTTTGTTACCCTTTCTTTCTCGGCCAGTAATCTATAGATTCTGAAAGTTTTTGGGAAGGCACGGCAAAAAGCAATCAGGCCTCTGGCTCATGATAAGGAAGGAAAGGCACACATGCATTTTGTTCTGTTTTAATACATGAGGGGGGGATTTTAAAAATATATAAAAGGGGCTAGAGAGATGGCTCAGTGATTTTAAAATTATAATACTTTTGCAGAGGACACAGGTTTGTTTCCAGCATCTATGTTGGGTGGTTTGCAACCACCTGTAACTCCAGAGCCAGGGTATCTGACACCCTCTTGTGGTTTCTACAAGCACCTGCACAAATGTACATATATGCACACACACGCATACTATTTTAAAATAGATGGAAAATACAAGTTCCTAAAAGGGACATAGTAGTTCCAGCATATATTCTCAGCTGCTTTAGAAGCTAAGGTAGTAGGATCATTGAGCCAAAGAGTTTAAGGCCAGTCTGAGCAACATAACAAGACCATGTCTCAAAGTTTGAAATAACATACTAAAAATATTAGAAAGTGTCACCACATGTTATCTAGATACCAAGCCTTTATTGTTATGTACCAAGACATCCTGATCTCAAAGGGTGCCTTGTGGAAAATACAAGGAGAAAGCCTTGAGTGTAGTGACACAGGCTTTTAATCCTAATACTCAGGAGGCAGAGGCAGGTAGACCTCTGAGTTCAAGGCCAGCCTGATATAGCAAGTTCTATAATATACAGAGCTCCTTAGACCCTGATTCAGAAACAATAACAAAAGGATGCAGTAGGCAAGGTTGTAGAGCACAATAGTCACCTTTTTGGTATGAAGCAGTTTCCAATGATAAATTACTAATCAGGGGCATTTTCAGTATGTGACTGATCATATCATTCTTTGAGTTCATTCCATTGGGTCTGTAAAACAGAATCACAATAAAACCCAAGATGAATATTAATTCCTGGGCATTATAATCCCAGTACTCTAGAAGCTAAAAAGAACTGGCGTTGTTGATCATTTTAGGCTACATAGCAAGACTCTGCCTCAAAAGGAAAGGGGTAGTCTCAGGATATAGCTAACTTGATAGAGAGCTTGTGTACCATGTGGATAGTTCAGGATTCCCTCCCCAGCACAGAATAAACTGGGGCCGCTAATCCCAGAGTTTGGGAAGTACAAACAGGAGGGTCAGGAGTTCAAGGTCATATGTTTTGCTAAGTGAGTTTGAGGTCAGCCTGGGATTTGTGAGACTCTATCTCAAAGACAAAACAAATACCAAAAAACAACCTGGGTTGTATTATGCCTCTATGATTTCAGTGAGCAAAAATACAGCAGATAAACTGTTGCCAGGAATTATTTTTTAGTTGTAAAGTGCACATCAAATTTACCATCTTATAACTGGGGATATATCTCAGTGTTAGAGTAATTGCCTAATATATCTGGAGACTGTGGGTTTGATTCCCAGCACCACATAAATGACTATCTTATCTTTTGTATCTTTTGTATGATTATAGTAGTGTTAAATATGTTCATACTGTTGTATTATACATCCACTCTGGAGAATTGGTCTTGGTACTCAAACACAGGATCTTATACATGCCAGGATAGGTAAGGCATATTTTCAGCCAGAGCCCATAAATTTCATTGAGTATAGAAGGTTGTTTCTTGAGAAGAGATTAGAGGGGCTGGAGAAATAGCGCAATGGTTAAGAGCTCTTCCAGAGGACCTGGGTTTAATTCCTGGTACTCACATAGCAGCTCACAACTGTCTCTAACTCCAGTTCCAGATGATCCGACATGCTCACACAGGTGCACATACAAGCAAAATGCAAGTATACATAAAAATTAAATTTTAAAAGAAAAAGATTAAAACAATACTTTGTTCCCTTCCTACCCAGAGAAACTTCTCTGGAGCTCGTATGTGACAGTGCTTCTCTGGTTTAGAACTCACCAGCTCTCGGGACCCTCAGAATCAAGTCCCAACTCTTCAATGCTTTGCGGTATCTTTAAGTCAGTTCTTGCTGGCCATTTGTACCTGGTCTTTTTTTTTTTTTTCAGATTCAGTGACCAGTTTTTACCTATGTTCTTACAAGTCACATGTTCTGTTACTTAGAGCACAATTCAGTCATTTCTTTCACCTAGAGCACTTCCTCTAATTGCTCCGACTTCCAAAGTGCGTCCTTCTAGGTAACTCCTGTACATTCAGTGTCTCACAGTTTCCTGTTATGTTTTCTATGTGTCTGATATTGGATGCCTAAGGTCCATATATATTCATTGTATGCACACTGCCCAAGTGTTCAATAAGTACTTGGATGAAATGAAACTATTGCTTTTCGAGCATGTTTTATAAATAATGTTCCCGTTAGGACGTTAAGTGCCTTAAAAAGAAGTGATGCCAGGCATGCAGCACAAACCTTTAATCCCAGCATTCATACAGCAGAGGCAGGCAGATCTCTGAGTCTGTGCCAACCAGGCTACATAGTGAGACCCTGTTTTTATTTGTTTCATTTTGGTTTTGTTGGGTTTTTGGCTTGTTTGTTTGTTGGTTTTTCAGAACACGGTTTCTTTCTGTTAACAGCTCTTACTGTCCTAGAATTCACCCTATAGACAAGGCTGACCTCAAACTCACAGAGATCTGCCTGCCTCTGCCTCCAAAGTGCTGGGATTAAAGAGGTGCTCCACTACACCTAACTTGTTTTTAAAGGAACTACATAGTTGAATAGGGAAATGCTTTGTGTACACACACACACACACACACACACACACAGTTCCCGTGTGGCAGTGTGGCTACCATTAGAAGTTTTAGAGTTAGTAGACAGACCTAGCAGGGATAGTGTGATTATTCAGCAGATAAAGGCACTTGTTCCCAAGCCTGAAGACCTGAGTTGATTTTGATCCTGGAACCTATCTTGAAAAGTGCACTCTGGCTTTCACATATGTGCTATAGTGTATACACCCTCATCACAAATATAATTAAATAAAATAAATTTTTTTTAAAGAAATAAAACTTGCTTTTTAAAAAAAATGCCACAAGAGGTAGGAGTGTGGTACAATGAATGGTATACAGTATCCTGGACTTCATACCCAACACTGCTGACACCCCCCCCCCCCCCCCCCCCCCACACACACACCAAAGGAAAACAAGCAATACACATTTAAGGTCAAATTTATAAATCATTACTATACAGTGATTACAAAGATAGTTAAAATATGTATTTATTTGTAGTGCCTAGCACATAATATTTATGCTCTATTACTGTTGGTTGTTGATGCTATTATCTATAACCACAAGCACAGTTTTATGGCATATTTGTTAGACTTTCACAAAATCAGTTTTGGCAAAAGTTAACCATGCAGCTACTTCAGTATTGTATGTATGTTACTCATACCCAAATATGTTTTTGGAAACCTTGCTAACATCTCAAATATACCTGAAAATGTAAAGCCTCTATCTCCTTTTACATTTCGAGTAATTATCAGTGTCTCCTTGACACATTAGCAAGCCCAACTTTAGTTCCTCTTTTTTTTTAAAGAGTGAAATTGTAGTATTGGGTTTTTAAAAAAATTATTTTTGTTTTCTGTGCATTGGTGATTTGCCATGGGTGTCAGGTCTCCTGAAACTGGAATTACAGACAGTTGTGAGCCACCTTGTGGGTCCTGGGAATTGAACTCAGAACCTCTGGAAGAGCAGTCAGTGATTTTCACTACTGAGCCATCTCTCCAGTCCCCTCCTCTCTCTAGCCCTCACATCTAAGCACCAAGTCCTATTTATTTGGTCAACTGGAGAAGTGTCCATCAAATAGATCCCTTTCTGGAATTACCGTGCCCTTCAGATAACTTGTTACTTTTACTACTTTCTTGCTTTTCTGCATGGCAAATTGTTGCCTGTACTCAATTGTCAATCCACCATTGCCCTCCTTCTCACCGTGCCTCCCTTAACCAGTTGGACAGAAAAATTTGTTCATCTTGCCCCAGAGCACTTTGCATGGAACTTTATTATAGCGCTGACTACTTTATACTTTGTACTTACTCTCTAGATGTAGCTCACAACGTCTCCCACTAGCGTACAAACTTCTTAACAATGTGTGCCATGTGTGAGTCATTTTCATGTCTCCCAAGACTTGAGTGTCTGGCACACAGGAGGGGGTGCTTTTCAATGAATTTAAACAACAAACCCAAAAAAAACGAGTATATGTTGTTTTTCTCTTTGTGCAGACATTAGTACAGAAGAGCAGCTAAGGCGCCTACAAGAGGAGAAGCTTTGCAAAATCTGCATGGATAGAAATATTGCTGTAGTTTTTGTTCCTTGTGGACATCTGGTCACTTGTAAACAATGTGCCGAAGCAGTCGACAAATGTCCCATGTGCTACACAATCATTACGTTCAAGCAAAAAATTTTTATGTCTTAATTCAGAGCCACAGTAGACATGTTCTTCTTACTCTAATTGAATGTGTGATATGAGCAAACTTTAAGTAATCAGCATTGCATTCCATTAGCATCTGCTCCCAAGTGGAAACAAATGTTAACAGCACTGTTGCAGTCTAAACTTTGAATTTCTAGATCTTTTAGGCTATTAGCTATATTGTTTATCCAGTATTTTACTCAATTGAAACCTTAGACAAAGAAGCATTTAATATTATAACATTTTACCTTGTGTATTTGTAGTATACTGGTTTGATTTTTATGTGTAAGTGAATTAATCACCTGCATTTTTTCATTCCTTTCAGATAAGCTTAATAAATGGGGTGTTCTGTATAAGCAGGGAGATTTCAGTTAATCCGCCCAATCACTTAATTTGTGTATTGTGAATAGGGAAGAACTGTTTCACACTGGTGGGAGGATAAACATTGTTTTTAGATGTTTGTCCGTGTTTTAGGATTTTGTCTGTTTCCTTTCAAAATTATAAACGTACTTGTATGAATGATTTTTTAAAAGTGATTTTGCCATCTCCCAAAAGATATTAAATGATAGACTACTATCTAACTAGCATATACTAACATGGAAAGACAACAAAGATACAGTAAGTGTAAAATACAAATGGCAAAACACTATGTATAGTTTTAGTCAAATCAAGGTGTGTGAATTTTATATCTGTACAGGACAAAAAAGATTTGGAAAGATATGCATCACACTCTTAAATATGTTTTTTTTTTCTTGAGGGGGTGGGGGCATGGGTCTTAGGGGGGCTTATAGGTGCCCTTCTTTTTTTATTGAACTTTATATAACTATGTATTACTTTTATATAATCATAATTTTTAGAAAATATTTTACTGATTTAAAGGCTTAGGCATGTTCAAACGTCTGCAAAACTACTTATCACTCAGTTTCAGTTTTTCTAATCCAAGAAGGCAGGCCAGTTAATTTTCTGGTGCCAATGTGAAATTTAAATGTTTTTGTTTTACCTGCTTTGTGGATGAAAAATACTTCTGAGTGGTAGTTTTCTGACAGGTAGACCATGTCTTCTTATCTTTTTTCAAAATAAATATTCCTGATTTTGTAAAATGAAATATAAATTATGTCTCAGATCTTCCAATTAATTAGTAAGGATTCATCCTTAATCCTTGCTAATTTAAGCCTGCCTAAGTCACTTTACTAAAAGATCTTTGTTAACCCAGTATTTTAAACATCTGTCTGCTTATGTAGGTAAAAGTAGAAGCATGTTTGTATGCTGCTTGTAGTTTTAGTGACAGCTTTTCATGTTGAGATTCCCATGTCATTTTGTGTCCTGAAAGTTTCGTTTCATGTGAGTTTTTACTGTTAGGATGATTAAGATGTATATAGTACAGAATGTTAAGTCTCTGATTGTTTTATGTTTGTTTGTTTCTTGACTAGCAATGGTAGTAAATACTTTTAAAACTATTTTCTCAAGATCCTTAAAGCCTCTTGGAAATTGTAGCATACTGACAAGAGTAGTTGTTTAAGTATGATTTAACAACTTGTAAGAGTCAGTAAGAATAAAATCAAGCTAAAATGCTTCATAGAACACAGGATTTACCTTAAATAATTATCATGATAAGACCTCTTATAGAGACTGGTCTATTTTACTACAGAGAACAGTTTGGGAGTGAAACTGTTACAATTTAGACTTTTTGTTGTATTTTCTAAGAGAAAGAGTATTGTTAGGTTCTCCTAACCTCTGTTGACCACTATGGTAAGTGATGTCATTTTAATTGCAAATTTAAATAGAAAATAACAGAATTAAGTAAATGACTACCCTTTTTTCTCTTTCCTTTTTTCATGAAAATCCTTAGTTCTTTGTATTGCCTCCTACTTAGGTTCAGTTATATAGTCATTAAGTTGAGCTTGATCTAAATTGACTAAGTTTTAAATTTAAATTTACATTTAAAGCATTCTACAAGGGGATGAAAGTGTTAATTTTAAGAAAATTTTTCTAAGACTCTTTAGGTACAAGTCACGTAGGTAGTTTGTTTAATCTAGTTGTTAGCTAAGGATTCAAGGACTGAATTGTTTTTGAATAAGGCTTTTCATGTTCTGGGAGCCTCAGTTCATTTAAAACTCTCCTTTTAAAACTTGTGTGCTGAGAGTTAAGCAAAACCTCTTTTTCTTTCTTTTTTTTTTTTTGTCTTCATGAGTTGCAAAATTGAATTCGTGAAGCTGATGCGCTAACAGGTTTATTTTAAGAATTGTTTAGAAAATGCTGTTGCTTCAGGTTCTTAAAATCACAGCGCTCCAATTCTAATCAAATTGTTGGAGGCTTACCAGAGTTGGTCTGAGCTCATACTAGGAAAAAAAAGCCAGCGGATCCTTTCCAATATAGCTGTGCAAAAATTGCTCACTTGGAAGGTCAAAATATAACCAGATCCAGATCACCCCTGAGTGTTGGTGTTCTTTTCTGTATAAAGTTCACTCTAGGATTTTGAAGTAACCACCTATTTTACTACATACTAGTCATGTGAAATTTGATGTTATTTTGTAATAAATAGCTAATTTTATTTGTAATTCATTGTGTTGATCAAAACTTTTGTGAATGTTTGGCATTTATTAAATAAATAGAGTTTATTTGGTTAATGGCTTAGTATTCCCTTTCCTGCTAGATTTTGCCTCTTCCTTTGGTTAGGGGTAGAGGTGAGGTGACTGTAGTAAGTGAATATAATGTGGCTATGTTATGGCATTTTGTTGTTTTGGTATTTAAAATGTGTATTTTTCTGTTTTAATTTTAGTAGGTAAAATTTATATCTTGAGCTCTCTGAATGGATATTACCACTCCAGCATTAGCTGCATGTATTGCTCTTATTAGACCTAAATCATTGTTTTACTTCTGACTGCCTAGGTACTGAATAAGAGAAGAGGAGAAATGAAATAGATTGTATGTCATTGCTATTAGAGAAATAAGAAAATGGAGAAATATTCAGCCCATAGCATTTTAGTCATATCTTTTCTTTTTAAAAAGATAGCTATCAGTGAAGAAATGAGCTGGCCGTATAGGCTTCACAGCCTGAGTTCAAATCTCCAGAACCCACATAAAAACTGGGTGCAATAGCCCAAGCATCTGTAATCATAGAATGCCTAGAAAAAACAAGAAGCAGATAGCAGAATGTCCAGAAGTTTAAGGTCAGCTCATTTGGCTTAGGCATTAGAAAAGAGTCACTGTTAAACATGGTAGGAAGGTGAGGGCCCACCAACACAGAAACCTCCACACATGCATCATAGCAGGTATCCCACCTGTACCTAGGCACATACACAAAAGAGAAAAAAATAGCCATCTGTAAGATGAGAATGGTACCTTCACCATCTTCTCCAAGATGATGGACCTCAACTCAAGAAGAGCATATCTTATAAGCCGTAAATTTAACTCCCATGCTAAAACTTTTTATTTCCAAGACAGGATTTCTCTGTGTAACAGCCCTGGCTATCCTGGAACTCACTCTGTATGTAGATCAGGCTGATCTTGAACTCACAAAGATCTACCTGTGTGCTTCTCTGAGTGCTGGGATTAAAGCTGTGCACCCCCACTGCCCGGCAAGCCTAGACCTTCTCTGGTTTTGCTTTGATGGAGGACCTTGGACTAAAGTGTTGAAATAGGAGCGGCGAGGCCACCCACATGGCTAGGTTATGCCCCGAAATAATTACATGGAAACTGTATTTTTTAACACTGCCTGGCCCATAAGTTCCAGTTTCTTATTGGCTAGCTCTTACATATTGTTCTAACCCATTTCTAATATTCTGTGTAGCCCACGAGGTGGCTTACCAGGGAGGATCTTAACCTGCGTCTGTCTGGAATGGGAGAATCATGGCGACTCCTCGACTAAGCTTCTTTCTCCCAGAATTCTGTTCTGTTTACTCCACCCACCTAAGGGTTGGCCTATCAAGGGGCCTAGGCAGTTTCTTTATTAATAAGAAATCACTCCCACATCACTAAAGCTTAAAAGACAGCCTGGAAAGATAGCCACTAAGAGTACTTGCTGCTTCTGCAAAGGACCACGGTTCAGGTACCAGTACCCACATGGTGACTTACAACTGCAGCTCTAGCTACAGGCTATCTGGTGCCCTCTTCTGGCTGAAATGAGCACCTACATGCATGTACACATAAACATGCACATATACACATGAAATAATCTTTAAATCTTAAGTGACTCATTAACTTTTAGTCACTATTACTCATTTCTCTGGGTGCTTCTTATAATGAAGCTAAAAGTTGCAATAAATAAATAGATCAATCCTTTAAAATATTTAAGTTCATTTTTTTTAAAAAACTAGAAAAATATTCTTACTAAATTCAGTTGAGTTTTTCTAATGGAAATACTTATTCCCATTGTAATATTTGTTTGTCTCTGAAACATTCAGCACAACATAGATTTCTTCCTTACATAATAACATCACAGACTATCAGAGCTAGAAATTACCTTAGAGAGTAGCCTGTTCACACCACCACCACCACCCTCATTTTATCATAGAGGTAAGTCCCTTTACTAGGACATAATTTGAAGTTGAAAATCCCTGCACCACAGCAACTACCTGTCTTGGAAAGTCTCAGATGTTTCTTTTTCAACAATTCCACTCTGCTCTAATTTTCACTGCACAGTAAGTGGTGCTTTACAGTTACAGTAGGACAATCCCTAATATAAATTGAATAATATTAATGCTTGAGTGGTGACGTTCCTATTTGGAGGCTGAAGTTTGCAGCTGTGAGTACAGGTCTTTGACATTTACTATGTGCTTATGTATCACTCGTGTAGCATTTAAGATTACTGTCTAAGTTTATCCTATCACTCTGTCAGTACTTACCAACAGGCTTGCATTTTAAATTTGATGTTAATAATGGCTTTAATGTTGTTTCTGGTTTTGCATTTTTGTTATTGTACTTCACCTGACAGAATAACCAATTCTTTTGTTTTGTTAGTGTTGTGATGAATTATGTTAAGCATTTTGAGACAGAATACTATATTTGTGAATATAATTTTATGGCTTCTTTTCATTTAAAGGATACCTTTCAGTATGGAAATTTATGAAAATTGCTTTCTGCCCTATAATCTGTCATTTGTTGTAGATTAAAGCTTATTTTTCTGTGAATAAGACTTATTCAATAAAGCACTATTCTTTAAAATGATATCTTCTTTGTATTTGATTTTGCTTGTTGAGACAGGATTTCATGTATCAATGCAGGCTGTTGGCCTTAAACTCAGTATGTGGACTGATCCTTGAACATCTGGTCCTTCTTTCCCTACTTCCCTAGTGCTGATATATGTAGTATTGAGGATTAAATGCAGTACTTCATGCATGCTAAGTTCTACCAACTAAGGTAGATTAAACTCAGGTCAGCAGGCTTGGCAGCAACTACCCTTACCCACGGAACCACACAACCACAGAGATACATAGACCTCTTCGAGATACATTATACACATAGTTAAAAGTAATGAGCCAGCAATTATACCACAAGCACATGTGCTCAGCTATGTTCATAGCAGCATTGTTTGTCATAGCCAGAACCTGGATATAACCTAAATGTCTCTTGACTGAAGAATGGATAAGGAAAATGTGGTACATTTACGCAATGGAGTACTACACAGCAGAAAAAAACAACAACAGCTTGAATTTTGCAGGAAAATGGATGGATCTGGAAAACATTGAGTGAGGTAACCCAGACTCAGACAATCATATGTTTTCACTCATAAGTGGGTTTTAAACATAAAGCAGAAAATCAGCCTACAAATCACAATCCCAGAGAACCTAAGACAACAAATAAGGACCCTAAGAAGTAATGAGCCAGGCGGTGGTGGTGCATATGTGAGTTCCAGGGCTACACAGAAACTGTCTTCAAAAAACCACAAAATGGTAATGAATCTTTTTTAAAGTACATTAAAATGGGGCCAGAAATGTAGCTTAGTGGCATAGCACCTGCCTAGCATACATGAGGACCTAGGTTTAACCTCCAACACCACAAAAAATTAAAATGTTAATAGTTGTGGGTGGAGAGATGGCTTAGTGGTTAAGAACACTGACTATGCTTCCAGAGGTCCTGAGTTCAATTCCCAGCAACTACGTGGCGGATCACAACCATCTGTAACAAGATCTGGCGCCCTCTTCTGGTCTGCAGGCATACATGCAGACAGAACACTGTATACATAATAAATTTTTAAAATACATAGTTAACATCACTCGCCTCACAGAGTAGCTTGTTTGTGTTCAAAGATCATACTGTCACTGTAAAACCAAAGTTCAACAAGCAAGTAGTAAGGAATCTAAGAACCACTGCCCCATTGAAGCAGGCAGCAATGAGGGATTTTTGTGAGTCAGTTTCAGAATGTGAGAGCAATTTGGTCTGATATAGGTTCCCTAGGCAGAAATTCACAAGTAGCTATTTCAAGTGACTATTGGCCTTCTAATCCACAATACAGGTTCTTAAATGAAGAATTATATTCCAGGCAGGTGTGATGGCACATGCTCTTAAAGCAAGTGGAAAGCAAAGACGGGGGAGTTCAAGGCCAAATGAGGATACGTGAGACCTGTTTTCAAAAAGAGGTATTTCAGGCCATCTGTGTAGAGACTGATTAATCTTTGACAGTATTATCCCTGTCAAAAATCATTGACATTATCAAAAAACAAACAGAAGACTTACCAGCACTTCCGGCTTTGAGGTAGGTTCTTAATCTCTAGTCCCAGCTGGATTTAAACTCAGCAATCTCTTTGCCTTGGCCTCATAAATACTGAAAGTGCAGGCATGAATCACTATACTCCCTTTTTAAAAAATGTTCTTCTGTATACAGCATATATTTGAACTTGGCAATGAAAATACTCAGTACTAAGTTCAGAATGATCCCAAATTGTTGATTGCGCTACCCTGGTCAAGGGCTGGCGAGATGGTTGACCAGGTAAAGGCCCAGCAAGCCTGATGACTTGACTGATCCTCAGAACCCATAGGGCAGAAGAAAAACTGCGTGTTTTCCTCTGACTTCCCCATTTGTACTAGGGCACGTGTGTGTGTGCATGCACACATGTGTCACACACACAAATACGATTTTATAAAACTAGCCTTTGATCAAGCAATGAAAGAGTTAAAAAAGGATTTGGAAGCTCAGCTGTAAGTGCTGGAGGATGAGATTGTACAGAACAGCGCTGCACTTCTACAGAGCCAACACTTCAGTGAAATGAGAGCCGTTGATTTGGACGGAAAGAATTTCAGCGTTGGAAGGAGTCGGCCTTTCTAATTCATAATAATTAACAGTTCTGATTCTTTTCCAGTTTTGAAATATTTCAAGTGTGGCACAAAAGAAAGCAGATAAGAGGTCTCAGTCTTCTATAGATAATGAGTTGTGTAAATAGGTATAAGGCTAGATGACAGTTTAGCATGTTGTCTTAGTTTGTATGAGATTTCCAGGACAATGTAATGGTTCATAATTAATGACAACAGCACAGAAAATCTTTTGCACGGGCCTATAGTAGTTAACCTTAAGCCTCTGTATAGATATTGGAAGAATACTGGTTTCAAATACATAAATAAGAATCCAGGAGAATCAGATTTTCATTATTTTATTCTTTCCACTGAAGAATTTAAAGTGAGGAAAATCTAAAATATAACTAATTGAGATACTGTGTATTGAATCAGTGCTATTGTTCTAAGCCTAATTTCTTCCTGAGACAGGATCCAATGAAGCTCAGGCTGGCCAGCAGGGAATACAGGCATACATGCACCACAATGTCTGGCTTTCAAAAGCTCATTGCAGTAACTTTTACTGTCAATATGTATGCATGTATTTAGATAGATAGTCAACATTTCCCAGGATCAAACCTAGCGATTCACTTATTGCAGGAAAATACTCTATCACCAAACTCTACACCTACTGCCCCAAATACGTATTTTACACTTGAAATTACCAATATATATTTTTTCATTTTATATATTTATTAAAGATTTCTGCCTCCTCCCCGCCACCGTCTCCCCTTTCCCTCCCCCCTTCCTCAATCAATTCCCCCTCCCTCATCGGCCCGAAGAGCAGTCAGGGTTCCCTTACCAATATATATTATCTTTTAAGATTTATTTATTTTATGTACGTTGGTGTTTTGCCTGCATGTATATTTCTGTGAGAGAGAGTGCCAGATCCCCTGGAATTGGAGTTCAGGTATGAGCTGCTTTCTGAGGGCTGGCAATTGAACTTGGGTCCTCTTGAAGGGGAGGCAATGCTCTTAATTGAGCCATCTCTCCAGTCCCCTTCCCAATGTACATTTTAAAAATAAACTTTCATTGTATATCCATTTCTCGTGTGTGTGTGTCTGTCTTTGTGCTTGCGCACAAGTATCATTCCTTAGCTTTAGTACATTACTAGATGATTATTACTAGGAGTTCTTATGCAGAGTTACATTTTTGTCTAAAGCATCAAAAATGTTTTTTCTCATTAAATACTGGAGCTTACTTTGTGAGAAATTGGGCTGTGCTTTTGCAAGCTCAGTAACAATTGTCTTGAGGCAAAAGAAGGAACGGAATACTTGAGAGCGTGTGAAAAGCAATTGATGTTTCCAAGGAATTGCTATTAAAAGAAGAGACTCCAAATCCCACCCCCATAAAATCTTTTGTCTTTTTTTTAAATTAATCTTCTGAAATGGGGAAAACCTTTCTAAAATTTTATTTCTCAGAATATTCAAACATGGATCATGGCTTTCTTGGTAAAAAATTAGCAAATGTTTGTGTTAATCATTAAGAGTATGTCCTAACACATCTGGAAAAACCTGTTTTTCTTTCAACTACATTTTATTTGATTATTAAAATGAATATGCTCTACTTCTTAGCTTTCTGCTCCAAACTGTTCAGATATATTTTATGTGAGCTGTAAGGCGTGGTGGAAAAGACACGTGCTAACAGTAGTTATAAACCAGTATTTATTTTTCACTTACACGAAAGGAGCATAACAAACAATATTCAGACATGGGTATAACCATGCCTGTTCCTCCTGCCTTGTGTGATTGTGAAGGCCATGTGAAAAATTGTACATGAAAGAGAGTTAAAAGGAATAAACCCTCAGTGAGCCTGAGGGATCTGTCCTTTAATTAGAGTGTATTGAACTAATTACAGGTTAGCTCGACACAAAATGAAGCAGTTGAGGACCAATGCCTGATTAATCAGGGGTCTAGGATGATGAAATGCATTTGTGGCCATTTTCATAGCTCTCAAAACACTTTACATCTATTTGCTCTTTGCGTGGTCATGTGTTGCGCTTAAATCAGAAGAATCTGTAATGGTTCGGGGGAGGGGGAAATTGTTGCTCTCTAAAATCATAAAAAAAATGATGTTCTTAAATCATGACATTCATTTGACCTTCACATAGGGAGGTAGGGGCATAGCTCAGTGATAGAGCACTTTGCCTAGCAGCTTTGAGGCCCTGGGTTCAATTCCCAGCACTATAACAAGAGCAGCAAACCAGTAGTGACCCCTCATGTAAGAATTTGGGGGAGTCAAATCACTCTTCTAACATAGGATCATGAGAATATGTAAAACATTTAGGCATGATAATTTGTGTCCTCACAGGATCTCTTGATAATTTTCAAAGTGCTTTACCTACTTCATTTTACAACTTCCTCCTGAAATGAACAGTTATTTATAATTTTGAAAGTAGTGCAAAGACCACAGGGAAGTTAGGTAACTTGCCTAACTCATGCAGGTAAATAGAGGCAAAGTCACAAGAGCCTTTACTCCTGTAGCATTTATTCATTTATTTTATTCGTATGTGGGTGTGCATGCCACAGAACCCATGTGGATATCAGAGGACAGCTCGGGGGAATTAGTCTCTACTTCCACCACCTGCGATCCAGGACTTGTACTCCAGTGGTCAAGCTTGGCTGCGACTACCTTTACCCCCTGAGTCATTTCAGCCACCCAAGAGCCTTTACTTGGTTACTCTGGTACTCTTAATAACCTGCCATCGTGTGTCCCCTTCCTTATATTTGTACCATCTATGTAATTTACAGTCGAGGAGCCCTAGACATAGAGGTTACATGACTCACCTAAATCATATGGTGAATCACCAGTCAAGCTGTTCTTATAGGTAGTAAAGCTGTTTCTAGCTAATGTTTGGCACGAATTAGCTAAATCGACTGCCTCGCTGTCTGACTTGTATG